TAATGCTAAAGCTAACAGGCTAAGCTGAGGCTCTTCTTCCATGAAGCAGCTCTGTTGTCCTCCATCCATATTTTCAGTTACAGTCTGAGTCATTTCTACCTTCTCCTTTCTGTCAACGCTCTCTGGTTTCATTTAAAAGAGTCGATCATCAGATATTGTCCAAGATTAACCTTCAGGGTGGATATAGCTCGCTAACAGCCTCACACTGAGGACCTATCCACGTCATCATTTACCCAGAATGCTTTGTGTGTAAATAAAATGGCCCCGTCAGTGTAATATCTTTTTAAACTTTTAGTTTAAAAACGATAAAAACTAAACAGCCTACAGTATTTTTAGTCTTTATTTTATAGTTAAAATGTGTGTTTATTAAATAAAGTCTAATGTTACAACTAATCATGGATCCCTTTAACGCAGGAATCTGAAAATGTAATGAGGTCATTTTGACCAAGTTTGACTTAATCCTCATTTCGATATGATGGGTCACATCAAGACAAGAACAGATCATCAGAGCACTAAGTTAGATTTGAGAACTATTTACCGCAGGTTGGGGGTCATCGTACGGATCTGGAAGAAATGGTCAAAAAGGTTAAACTGAGTCGATCGAAGCACAGCAAGGACGTTTGTTTCACCATGAAATATTCGTACTTTTCAGTTTGTTTTTCTGTTTGGTTGAACCCTGGCCCGAGGCGGATTTATTGACGCTCTCAACATCTTCGTACACATCAGATGTTTGGTTGTAGTAGTCCTGGTCTCTACAGGGAGAGGAGAGAGCCGGTACTTTAAACAGCCAACAGATATTAGCTCCACAGAAAACTCACCTGAAATAGGTTTGAGTGTCATCGTTGGATGTATGGCTCCTGAGTTCAGTTTCCTCTGGTAGAGACTGACTCTCTGCAGCTCCCAGATCAGTCTCAGAGGTAGTAAAAGCATCTAACACTTGGCTGTACGACTGCTGCTCTGGAAACTCTGACAGGTTTATTGGTCCGGGGAAGCAGGCTGGATCCAGAGGGATTAGATACGGACTGCCGAGGTTTAGATCTGGGACGACGGGGAGGCCGCAGACCTCTGACACAGCAGGTTCTGGAGCCTCCAGATCTGCTTCCTTACACTGGGAGGGCGTTGTGAGGTTAGTGTAAACTAGGTCCAACGCTTCAAGCTCTAATGCAGTGATGTCTACAGCTTCACCCAGCACAGCTTCCACCTCTGAGTTTTCAAAGTCTGGGAACTCTGGTGCAGCCAGCAGGGGGCTGGAGGCCAGGGTGTGCTCGGGACGTTCTTCGTCTGGTGTTTGGAGCTGAGCCGGTGATGCACCTATAAAATAATACAGAAATTATGTCACTGATGTCTTAAAAAAATAATGTCAGAGCAGTAAAATAAAGCCAAAAGTCCTACCTTTAACTGTGAGTGAGGGGTAAGAGCTGATGTCTACTATAGGTGGTCTAGAGGGCTTCGTCGGCACCGGTCCGAGCCTGCTTAAATCTGGTAATCGTTTTTTTACGGGACTACTCCGATTAAATCCAGCCGTTCTCACAGCTTTATCTCTCAAAAGCTGAAAATCAGCTGCTGGCTCTTGAGAAGGAAAAAAAAAGCAAATAAAAGGATTTACAAGGGTTGGGCATAATCGTATCGTGTACAATTAATCGTCAGAAAAACATAATCGATTATTTTTTGGCACTTGACGATTAATACGATTAACGCCACCTAGCAGTGCGCTTGATGCTCCTCTCCACTTCAAATATGATGAATATTTTAAAAAAAGTTCTGTAATTTTTTTTGTGACCCATCACATCGAAATGAGGATTAAGACTAAAAGTTGTATATGGAGAAATAGCCAAATTAATGTTTTGAATAAAACGTTTGGAAAAATTGCATTTTTTCAAAACATAATGAATAAAAAGCCTTATCAATGTTATCATTGAATGAACTGTCCGAAATATAATCATAAAACAAAATTATGAAGCACTGTTTTGAGCAGTAGCAACAAAAAATTTTGTCCTGTTTTTGAGGATAAACGCCTTAAAATTTTGAGATTTTCCCTGTGAGCTAGCAATGTTTTGTTTCTTTTCAGCTGGGAAATCTCATTATTCAAATATAATTTGAGGTTTCCTCTTTATTAGGACATCAAAAATTCCTTATTAAAATTAATAAAATTAGGATTCAGACCAAATATTTACGTATTATTGTAACCTACAAGACAAATTAAGTCATATATATGGATTTACTTATGATATATCAGAATGATCCAGGTACCAAAATGTAGCTTTTAAGGACAGGAATCTGAAAATGTAATTAGGTCATTTTGTCCAAATTTGACTTAAAGGAACAGTGTGTAGGATTTTGTCAATTCTTTTAGCCGAAATTGAGATAATCACTGATGACAATAATAAAAAACATGTCTAACCATTGCAGACAAAGACCTTGTTTTATTATTTTTACCTTATAAAAAGCTGTTTATATCTCCATGGTCGCGGGTCGCCACACAGGCAGCCGCCATCCTTGCCTACGAAGGCTCATGAAGGACAAACCGCGGTGGCGGCGTCAAAAACGGTTTTAGTTGTAATACTATAAATGTAATATTTGTTGTCTGTCATTGTAGCTGGGATAATTTTACTTATTAAAGCTCATAATCTTACCACTTGAAACATCACTAGCCCTGAAGCTGCTGGTAGACATTGCGGTTGGAATTATCAAAGGTGGGGGTGGGGGGAGGACCAGGGAGGATGATTCAACCACTCAACCACTAGATGTCGCTGAAAACAACAAATCCTACACACTGTGCCTTTAATCCTCATTTTGATATGATGGGTCACATTTATCACCAAAATTTAAAATTTGATGTATAGCCTGAAGTCTGTAATTTTGACACAATTTGGAACAGATTTTTACGAAGGGCAAATCTTTCCCACTAAATTGGTCATGTGACCAGGACATAAGGGTGTCCAGGGACTCCAGGGGATTAATCGTCAAATTAATCGTTATCGGCTAAATACCACTATTAATCGTGATTCTTTTTTTTTTTTTGCCAATATTGCCCAACCCTAGGACTTACCTAAATATTTAAAAAGAAAATGTAAATATTTAACGTGGATGACTTACTCCACGGAGAGGGGGTAACTTTGGAAAAAGGTCGAGCAGAAATACAAGCCAGGTGAGGACGACACACAGGTGGGGGTACGTTGGTACCGAGGCCGTTGGGGTTCTCCGGAGGTAAAAGAAACGTTTTGTCGGGGGAAGGAAAAGTCTTGATTTTGGCAGAAATGAACATCTGCCGCAGTGAGAACAAACTCTTAGCCTTCTCCGCCGTGCTTAGGTTACTGTTGTCGGGGTCCACGTCAGAAGATGGGGGGCTAACTAGGATTTCAGGACTAGAGAGCGAGGGATCAGAGGCTGCCTGCTCCCTTTGGAGCCAGGTTTTGTTTCCTGGTTTTTCCACTGAGGGCAGGTCACCAGGAGCACTGCTGGGCCTGTTAGTAAAATCAGCACATGTGGCTCCCTCTCTGGTTCCTGCACTGGCTTTTGTTGCTTTAACAGACTTGAAAGGAAACAGCGCAGCATTCTTCTTAAATGTATTCTGTGGTGAGAGGTCTTTTCCCAGTTCCTGGTCAGGACTGTGCTCCCTGTCAGTTGGTAAATCCAGCCTCTGATCTTTTGAAGGCGGGACAGGGAGCACCAAAGGCATGTTTCGATCCCTGAGGGACTGCCTCGCCGCGCAGTGTCCATCAGCAGGCTGTGACGGGGGAGGAGTCCGCTGAGGTGGAAGGGAGATCGATCGCTTGCCTCCAGATGACCGAAGAGCATCTCTGGAGAAGACACGGGGAACCACTGGGGAGTTGCTTTCTCCAGCTGAGTTAGTACCACCAACCGCTGAGCTGCCGGGTCCTACAGGAGGGGCAAAGTGTTTGGGCTTCTCAGCAACGGCTGGACGGCTGGTTTTCCACTGAGTAACAAGGCCCTCTTCCTGAAATTTAGCCCTCAGTGCTTTGAAGTCAGTTGGTCCATCCTTAAAAAAATACATAAATAAAATAAAATAAAAAAATAAACCAGACAACTGTGAATTAAAGTTTTTTAAAAACATTGTTAGTTTGCTTAAAATTGAAATCTGGGCAAATAGAACCATCAACACAATTAAAGCCTGGATAAAGAGTGAGTAAAGCATAAGATGTCTATGTAACACAGGGTAAAACTAGCTGAATGTTGCCACCATTAAAGAGATACGAAGTTAAAAAAATAAGAATTGTGTCTATTGTTAATTTATCAACAATTATACTTAGAATTAATGTCTCAAAATTCATGAAGTCAATGAAATTCAATGTCTGGGTGTCATTATTGATATAAAGCTGACATGAAGAGCTCACATAAGAGCAAAAATAGCAAACACTACTGCACTGTTGTACAAAGCTAAACAGTTTGTGTGGATGGATACTGTGTTATATACCACAATGATTGTATCACATTTAAGGTTAAGGTACTTCATTCATCATCAATGCATGCTTCCATGCAATGACGATGCTGCTTTGCATTCGACCAATCACACGTGAGAGCAGTGGGCAGCTATGTGAGCGCCCAGGGAGCAGTTGGAGGTTAGGCATCTTGCTCAAGGACACCACGACATGCGGGTGGGAAGTCGAACCTGTGACTTTTTGGTTCAAGTCGGCTGCTCTACCACTGCACCACAGCTGCCATTTAATAATATTGAATTCAAGTTTAACAAATATATTATTCCATCATAGAAATGACTGAAGTTTTATGATTTGGTTGATTGTATAAGGCTCACAAAAATATTACCAGTGAAATTTTCAATTAAAAGCTGTTAAGAGAGTTATTATCCTATGGGAATATATATTTTTAAATAAACTTGATTTTGAACTAATTTGAGGGAATATATGCAGGGTGTAATCTTTATACTGATATTAAATTTCAGAATAATCAATGTTTAAGAAGATAAAAGCTAGTTTATTAAAAAATTGGTACCATGAATTGATATAAACTATTATTGGAATACACAAATATTTAAAAAGTTCTGGATGGAGTGTTTAAAATGTTGCATTAATGTTGAAATTTATTTTTGAACATGGGCAGATATGATACATTTTTTCTTCTTCTCTGCTCTTTTTCATTCATGTATTTTGTGTTTTCAATTATTATAAAGACATGTCATCTAGAATTTTAATTTTGGAAAAATAAAACGATAAACACCTGGGTAAGTAAATAAACTACTGAGACAAAACCAAGTTTTTTTTCTTTATACAAAGTTAGAATAAAATGTGTTAACTAGCACAGGCTAAGTTACAGGTAGCTAATGTAGCTTTCTTTCAATAACTATTTTTAAAACGTAGATATTTTAGTTCTGGGCAAATAAAACCACATAACCAAATGTTTGGGTACAAAAAAACGCAATCAAAAGTTAAAAACAACCAGACAAACATTTTATTACACAAAGTAAATGTGGCAGATTGGCTAGCACAAGCTAAGGTAAAGGTTAATTAGCTCAGAAGCTAAATACTCAAACGCAATGAGAAATCTTTAAACTTTACCTCGTCCATGTTGGTCACAGGGTTTATTCATCACTCATCCAGACTGAACATTTAAGGCGGTTCAAACTCTGAAAACGAGACACCACCCGGTTCTTTTAGGCAGGAACAGTCCCTCCATGCTTATCACGGACGCTAACACAAACAATTTGAAAGCGCCGCCGCCGCTGTTGACGCACCTGCGTCCCTCACGCGCATCTTACGTGCGTGTTCACGTTAATCTAATCAACTAATATGTTGTGCTGCGTTCGCTGTTATCCAGAAGGTCGGAATTCGCTGTTACGGAATTGCAAGAATGAAAGAAAACACAATCAGAAGTCAAATTTACAAAAATATAAGTCCTTTAATGTTTCTCTCTAAATCTTTATTGAATATTGTAAGATTAGAGAAACTAAAATAATAACAAAAAAAGTTTTAAGAACCAAAAGATACTGTAAATTAATCACAGTTATGTTCTTGGAAAATATGAGTTTTAAAAAGTAATACATAACAAGTTTAAAAGAGGATAAAAATTTAATTGAATGTGTAGCTGAAAAAAATATATCAGGGGTAAATTGAAGTATTTTGTTTTACAGACACGACATATTCAACAAAATCTATCAACTTGAATGTTTAATTAGTTATAGGTGAACGTGGAGAAGTTTCAGTAACTCTGTAAAAGCCTTGGTAATTCCATTCCAAAGGTTTCGGTAGAATAAAATGTATTTTAGCATTATTATTATTAAAAGGGTATTTGTAAAATTTCTGAATAAGATAAGATAAGATAAGATAAGATAAGATAAGATAAGATAAGATAAGATAAGATAAGATAAGATAAGATAAGATAAGATA